CCGGCTGACCCGCCGCCTGCCCGGCCTCGCGCGGCCGCAGCACCAGCGCCAGCGAGCCCGGCGCCAGCTGCACCGGACGCGCCATGCCGCCGGGACCTGCGCTCACTGCGCCCGCGCCTGCGGCCCCGGGAGCCGGCTGCCGGCGGGGCGGGGCGGGGCGTCGCTATCACTCCCACGTCTCCGCAGCAACCAGAAGAGCCAGGGCGTCGCCCACCCGCAGAGCCGGGAGGACCCAGCTTGCGCTTGGGAGGTGACCCACGTTTGCTCCTCGGCTCCGCTCCTGACCTATCAGGCCAGTTGTCCCGCTTCTGCGGTCTTGGATCTGGCCAGGCTCCTCATCCTGCGGCAGAGTACCCTGAGGGCCCTCTCAACTTTCTGGAGTTCTGAGTCTGTCTCTTCCCCTGGTATATCCCATTCTTTTGAGAAGTTTGAGGAAAGCAGTGTTGGAGAGTGCTGTAGCGCAGTCTTGGGACCCCGCCCTGATAAAGATCTAGGAATTCTGAGTTGGTACTCCAACCGGTCCCAGGAGCCCCAAAGGGTGAACTAAGAAAGGCCATGATCTGCCCCTGCAGACTGTGGCCGCCTTCTCAGAGCGATAAGGACAAACAGCCTGGGCTGGAATTGAGGCCCTGGCCCCTGAGGAAAATGACCTATTGGCCTTACAACCGAAACTCAGTGCTCTAAAGGGGAAGGTGCTTCGGCAAGACCTCAGTGTCATTTCAGACTTCACACATCCCTATCAATTATCAATATCGATATAATAATCGGAGGAGAGGAAGAGAGAGAGAGAGAGAAACAGAGATTCCTTTGTCGCCCAGGCTGGCCTCAGACTCATGATTTTCTTGCTTGTGCCACAACTCCTAACCTTTATAACTACAATAACAAGATAATTCAAACCCCTGTCCATAGTAAACACACTAGGAATCACAGATGGTATTGATAACAATGGCCCAGTTCCACAACTCTGTGCAATCTGTTGCAGATTGATAGCTCTAATCCTCAAATCCCAGATTCTCTAAGAGCTGAATGTTTTGTTTTGTTTTTAATTTCACAAGTGAAAAATACCACACTTAGGCAGGCATGGTGGCACATGCCTATAATCCCAGCACTCAGGGAGGCAGAGGTGGGTGGATCTCTGTGAGTTCAAGGCCAGTCTGGTCTACAAAGGGAGTCCAGGATAGCCAACGCTACACAGAGAAACTGTTTCAACAAAAACAAAAACAAAAACAAACACCACGATTGAGTTCAGGCTGTAAGGGGCACGAATATGAGTTAAGTGAATTGTGTGTTTAGACTTTGGGACCCATCTCCAGCATGGCTCATTAATATATCCAAGTATGCCAGCATCTGAAAAAACTGTGAATTCTGGCCCCAAGCATCTTAGATACAATACTATTATATCTATAGTGTACATGCATACGTGCATGCGTGCATGCAAATGTTCATATTTGAGTGCAGGTGTGTGGGTGCTGAGCCAAGAGCTCCCAGGAGCCTCCTGTCTCCACCTCCCGTCTCACCACAGGACTGCTGGGACTACAGGCTATTACAGATTACATCCTATATATTCTGTGCTGTTCTTCCTTGATTTGCATGGATTTCAGGGATTCAAACTCGAGCTTTTACCCACTGAGCTGTCTCCCCAGCCGCCCTCCTGTATTTCCCACCTTTACACAGGCAAACAGAAGTGTTAGCTCTAGACTAGGGATCAGGCAAGTAGCTACTAACCCGGTGCTGCCTTCTAGGTCACAGACTGGGCTAGCCGCCATGTCCCTCACTTGGGGAGAAGACTCATCAGGTATTTTGAAATTCCAGCTTCTCAATGGGACAAAGACACGGAGCCGGTTGCCAGGCGTCACTGTCATTTCTCACATGCTACCGAAGGAGTGAAAAGAAAGGCATTTGATTTGTTTAAAAAAAAAAAAAAGTATTTCCCAGTCACATGGTGGTAAGAAATGGAACCAAACAACTACCAAGTCCGGCTTCTGTAAGATAAATGGCTTAGTCTGCAGTTCAGACAAACGTGAAGTTGACATAAGTATTTCCCATCTGAACCCTGAGCCGGACAGACACTGCAGGGAGGACAAACGTTGGCCCTCAGTCTGAGCAGTCGCACAGAGAAGCAATTTCTCCTCTGATTCTTATCATGGCCTTCACTTGCTAGACGGAAGTCACGTAACTGTGTGCCTAATGCTTGGAAAGCTAGAAATTCTTTTTGGAGAGGGGTCCTCACCAGGCAGCCTTGGTTGGCCTGCAAGTCACTACCTCGACCAGGCTAGCTTGGTGCTCACAGACATATGGCTTCCAGTCTCTGTTCCTGATCCTGAGTGCTGAGATTAAAGGCCACCATGCCCAGCCCAAAATTCTCCTGGGCTTGAGTCTCGGATCTCCAGCATCGCCTATGGTGTCTCCCAGAATCAGGGTAATGACAATTTCATCCTGAAGCTTTCAGTTTACTTTGTGCTTAGAACCATGTTGTGTGTGTGTATGTATGTATGTATATATATATATATATATATATATATATATATATATATATCCTGTGATTTATTTATTTATTTATTTTTATTTACTTAACTTTATGTGTGTTAGTGTGAAGGTGTCCGATCCCTTGGAATGGGCACTGTCTATACTGCCATGTGGGAATTGAACCCGGGTCCTTTGGAAGAGCAGTGAGCGCTCTTAACCACTGAGCCATCTCTCCAGCCCCCTGTGATACAATTTTATCTGAAAAATTAATCCTCCGATAGTAGTAGTATTATTCAATACTCATAGACAAACAGAACCTCAACAGGTTTAGGGAGATCGTCTGTGAGGACAGGTGATGGAGGGTTTCCAACATCTTCCCGTTCACCTGCACTTGTGCAGCCTACACATACACACAAATATGCATACACATAATTAAAATAATAAAAACAAACCTAAAAAAAGGTAAATGGGGGTCGAGATCCAATGTACAGTGACTGCCCTGTGTTCACGAGCCCTTGGTTCCGTTCCCAGCACCATATAAACTGGTATAGAAGTGCTAGCCTAATCCTAAAACACAGAAAGTGGAAGCAGAAGATCATGGGGTCAGAAGTCCAAGGTCCATCCTTGGCTACTTCGTAAGTTTGAAGCCAGCCTGAGATACATGAGAACTTATCTCAAAAAAAAAAAAAAAAAAGCAACTAAATCAAAGCAAACAACAACAAAATAGTCAACCGGTTAACTGAAGACAAAAAACCCAGAAGACGGAAAACACATTATAAAAGAAAAGTAAAAAGGGAGCCTCTTTGTCCACTTAAAGAAACACACTGTTAGCTAAGTCACATTTGAAAAAATGAAAACAAAAAACAAAACACTGGGGGAATTATGGGTTTGAGGGGCTGGGTTTGTTTCCCGCCAGACTTCTCTGTAGACAAAATGATCTTGACCTATTTTGTTTTGTTTTGTTTTTGTCTTTTTCAAGACAGGGTTTCTCTGTGTAGCCCTGGCTGTCCTGGAACTCACTCTGTAGACTAGGCTGGCCTTGAACTCACAGAGATCCACCTGTCTTTGCCTCCCGAGTGCTGGGATTAAAGAGGTGCACCACCACCTCCTTGTGAGACCCCATCTCTGTTCTCAAACAAAAACAAAATAAAACAAATCAAGCTGTGGAGCTCCAGGACCAGTGAAGAAGGTGAAGATAGCTCATCCTAGAGAAGAGGGGATGGGAACTAATGACTTGGATTGAATTGAGTGATGCATAAATGCCCTATGTAGGGGCCACTTGTCTGGGCTATGGAGACTGAACCCCAAGATCGTGTGGTTTCACAGCAAGAGCTTTTACCCACTGAGCCGTCTCCCCAGCCACCCTCGGCAAGGATCACTGCAGGCTGCTGTGAACCATCACAGCCTTGTGTTTGGCAGAGATGGTGGCACAGTGAGGTGATATTTGTGTTGATGACTTTAAATTTTTTTAAAGGTTTTAATGATGTGTGTGTGTGTGTGTGTGTGTGTGTGTGTGTGTACGTGTGTGTGTGAGTGCAGGTGCCGCAGAGGCCAGAAGCGGGTCGCAGATCCACTGAAATTGGAGACCTGCTATGGAGGACCCATCTCTCCCGCCCTAGATTGTTTTTGTATACCACAGTTTGTCAGCTGATGTTCCAGTCCTTCAACAAGTGAAGCTTTCACACTTTTTTTTTTAAAGACAGGTCGCAGGTAGCCCAGGCTGTCCTGGAACTCCTTAGTCTCCTGTCTCCACCTCCCCACTACTGAGGCTATGCTTAGAGCAGATTTAGGAACCCTTTTCTTTTCTCAATATTTGTTTATTTTAGGCGTTTTGGGTTTGGTGACAGTGTTTCCCTAGACAGCTGTGGCTGGCCTGGAAATCCGTCCTTACTCAGTCGAGGCTGGCCTCAAACTTGCTGCAAATCCTCTTGCCTCTGCATCTCAAGAGCTCCCACGAGAGAAGTGAACCAACCAGGCCTGGGCGACAGTGTTTTGTTTTTGAGGGGGCTGTACTCTGACTCCCATAAAAACAAGAGGGACAAAGCAACATAGCTGCCTTTCCTGTCCTCAGAGTTCTGAAAGCCATGAACTTTGTGAGTGAAGACCACCCCTTCACCACACTACTAAAATCAGGGTCAGAGGACAAGTTTCAGAGCCTGAAATATTACTTTCTGAAGAAAAGCTGGGAGATCAGCCTATCCAGGGACCCAGAAGCTGAAAAAGCACACTTAAAATAAAAATTCAAATTAACCCTTCACACACACACACACACACACACACACACACACACACACACAGATTAACCCTTCTCATTCACAGAGATTACCTGTTCACAGACTGACAGGCAGATGGAGAGAGAAAGCATGTTAGAACTTGGAGAGCATGTTTACTGCAGGCTGTGCAGCAGAGGATGGAAAGCTGGGCCCTCATCCCAACGCTGACATGCAAATCCCTGCAGAAAGCACTGGCCTCGCTCCAGGAGCCCAGGTCTCCAGGGAGTTTCCAGTGAAGCCTCCTGCCTGGAGTGTCTTCTCTTCCCAAGTTTCGCTGAAGTAGAGGACAGGTGATGCTCAGGATGTTCCTGCCTGTGCCCTTAAACTGGGATTGATTGGCAGGTGC